ATTATATTTTACAATAATTTGTTACATAGATTTTTTTTAAGATCAATAATAGTCATCCAGATATTTTCTAGGACTTAATTTTTCAAACCTGAAAATATATTACTTTACATGAATAAAATGGCTTTGCAGATGGCCTTAAGAAACATGACAAAGAAAGATCATTAAAGTGGACCAAAGGTGATGATAACAATCTTTTTTTTGCTTGGGGGGTACTGGGAATCAAACTCAAGACCCCATACTTGCCAGGCAGGCACTGTGTTGCTGAGCTGGACCCCAAGCTGCAATACTCTTTAAAGGAAAGCAATGAATGAAGGACTTTCCATCAGAGGACTGGGTATCATGGCAACAGAAATCAGGGCAATTGTTTCTGAAGATAAAAAGGAACCATTATTCAAAAAATGTGGGCAGCCAGTACAAATCCCGAAAGTACATACTGCTGCTGGCACCTTGATTTGGTCTCAGGGAAGCTGACATGAGCATCTCACCTCTGGAACATAGGATAATGAAAATCTTCTTTATTTAAGCATCTCACTTCATTGTAATTTCTTACCCGAACAATAGGGAACTACTACAGAGACATCTGTAAGTAAAACAGACACTGATCACTCTAATAAAATCCTGGTTCTGTCATCAGCTGTGTGGCTGTGGAGGAGAAGAAGGTAAACGGTATGAAGGAGCAATGAGGAAACTGCTTTCAAGATTGGAAACAAAGGAAAGCTTGTTTGCAGAACACTTGCGGATACTGTTGGCTGTGATGAGTTGGAAAACAAAAAACAAATCCAGCTAATTTGTAGATGTAAGACAATTTTTAGATAGCATAGTGAAAATGACAATTATTGTTTATTCTTATTTTGGATAAAGTAAGTTGTAAGAGAGAGAAGTGATATTTTGGTTCATGTTTAATTTGCAGCAGAGCCAGAAGAACAGCTTCTTATTTAAGCCCTTTACTCTTATTCTTGTATTTTCTGGGAGTCAATAGGTTTTCTAAAATAGTAAATGCCAGAAGGTAGAGATCAAAGTTCATGTATGGACCACAAAACATAGTATTGGCATGAAACATTCAGTCAAATATGTCATTCGTTTAGGCCAGGTATAAATAAAAGAAAGTATCTTGCAGATAAATGGCATTTTAATAATTATAGCAGCTTTATTTAATAGCACCCCACTTTTAACCCAACAAGGAATGGGAACTATCTTGCAGAGATTCCAGGAAAACCACTTGTCTTCATTTGATACAGACAAAAGCTAACATTGCTTTCAAAGTATTTGTATGAGTTTCAACTTAATGAAATTAAGTTTACCTAAAATATTTTGGCATTAAATACTGCTGACCAAGAAGCAGGCAGAAAAATTTTACTCAGGTACAATCACATACAAACTTTTTTAAAACAAAAATTAAGACATCCTAGAGGGTCACTCTAAGAGCCAGTGAAAACAGCGGATTTAGTGGTTACACTTTCAGAGAATAAATCAAACCACAACTAAGGTGATTTCTAAGTAGCTGAATTATTCAATTGAATTTTATTGTGATAATAGAACAAGATTTTGGACATTTTAAGAAGGAAATGAATATATTTTCCAGGTGGAAAATAATGTCAAAAAATAGGAAACAGAAGGAGAATTGATTGTTGTTATGTTGTAACAATAGTAGTACACCATATAGGATGCCTTTCACGTATATTCACGTCTTGATCTAACCAACTGCGTAAGGCAAGTATAATGAAAGCAGATTTTGTAAGAATTTACATGTCTCTACACATGTGGGTCCAATATATTTCACTTATGAGTTTGGTCTCTATTGTTCTTTAAAATGAAAAAAGAATTTATACTTTGAGGTTTCTGTTTGCAAGACTCCCATTTAGAAGGCATATGTATATACAAGGATATCTGGGATAGGTGAATTGCTCATGTGTGTTGTTTACTGAAAGAAACAATCAATGCTTAAAATTTTCTTTTTTCTTGACCAATTTTGCACACTTGTATCTCATAATCACAACAACTGATCTGAAAACAATAATATGCAGTATAAGAACTATAGTTGAACTCGTACCATCTCGTATGGTGAAGCTGGTGCCTCATTTCCAATGTTTATATTATTATTATTACTTGTTACTGTCTTTGATTGTTTGATCAGTCTTACATTTTTACTTCTGGTGGACTGAGCAACTTCGCTGAAGATAACAGTATGTAGTGTAGCAACCATAGTTAGTACCTATCATTTGTTTTGAGGTCATGTATCATTTTTGTTGTTTTTGTGTTGCTTTGACTTTGTCTTCATTGTTGTTCTTTTGTTAGTTTTTTTTAATCTTTAAAATAAAAAGAAGCCTGTAGCCAAATAAACAGTACAAACTCACCACATGGTGCCAAATAATTGCCAAGTTTAGTCAAATCAACGTGGAAAATCATATATTGTTGATATAATATTCTAGTACATTTCACTTTGATTTGTTATTCATCACAGTTGACAACTTCTTAGCACAGATAATAGTGTTTAAATATAGCAGATGCGGACATAATCACAGTTGATATTTCCTTTGTGAAAGGTAATGAATTGTTTCATAAGTAGTATCTCAATATATCCTTAATTAATCTATTGAAGATGAATATTATGCATTTTAGTATAATTATTTTATGGATGAGAAAACTGTGATGTAAATTTTTACTTAAGTTTCTCAAGTCCAGAGCTAGTAATAGGTGATGAAATTAGAATGTGAACTACTTTATAGTAATTCCATCTCTAGGTTTTTATCTGTTTTCCAAAATTGATTGTTTCAAGAATCTAATTCTATCTGCTTTGCACCCTCATTGCAAAAATCTGACATCTTATTTTCCTGTGAGTAAAGTTATAAGTGTACGGTTTCTGACTTGGCAAAAACTTCATTTATGGTTTTCTGAGACCTTTTCCTCATAGAATTGGTGAAGGCGCTTCACATAGTCAAAATGGGGTAATCTTCAATTCGTGTTCATCGCTTCATGGCTTCAGTTTGAGTTCTTGCTTCGAAGTAAACCAGATACATCCAACCAATACTTTACGTGAAAACAGAATTGAAAACATTTTAAAAGCCTACATTTAAAAATGGCACCCCAGTGATAATTTCTTATTACAGGGACTTGCAGATGTGATAGTACTCAAATAATTTTGGATTGAGTACGTCAATTATCTTTTCTTCTATATATCGGTATTTTCACGTCTATTCCTGGCCTTCATCTTGACTGATAGTAAAAGAAAAATGAGGGGAAGCTAAAATGTGGAAATTGGAGGTAAAGACAGTTATTGAAAAAAATGAACTCGTTACTCTTTTTAAAATATGAAGCTATCTAAATAGTAGCAATATCTGCCTTTTATAGACTTTCCTATTAATAAGCACTCAGAATATATTAAATTTTGATGAATTTGATGTTATTCTAACATAATTTTCATTCCCCTGCCAAATAAACAATAAATACCCAAAAATGATATTTTGGCAAGATGATGCAAATTATTCAGAAAGTTAAAATACATAAACTTCTGACTTTTTAAGAACAAAGTTATGTCAAAAATAAGCTCATATGTAAAAGTATATTCACAAAACAAATATTATTTATATTTTGATAATATTCTTACTTGCATATTGAAAATTTATTTTTAAAACCACATGTAGAATGTTGAAAACATTATGACTGACTTTTAGGAGACAAGGCAAAACATATATGCATTAACTATATTACAAGTAGAGAGAATTTATATTAGGAAGTGTTTTTAATAAAAAGTACAAAAGGTCACCCTTAAATGTTTGTTTTTTTCTTTTGTTTTTTTTTTCCGGTACCGGGAATCAAACTCACGACCTCGCTCTTGCTAGGCAGGCGCTGTGACACTGAGCTAAATCCCCAGCCCCAGTCACCCTTAGATGAATTCTAAAAAATATTAGAGTCCTAGTTTTGACTTGTACTTTGTATTTTAAAATTCATTACAATTAACTTTTTCATAAGTACAAAATTCTGAAAGAATGAGCACAAGATATAAATATCCTTCTGTTTATCCTTCAAAATATACTTTCTAGTTTGCTTGACATGTGTAAGTACTTTGTAGAACGTTTTTAGTATGCATTAGCAGTCACACTCTTGAAAAGTCGACATTCAGCATTATTTTTCAAAGACTGAGTCATATTTTATACTCATTATTAAAAATAGGAAAAGCACCTCATAGATGCATATAAATATTGATTAGCTTCTCTCCCTTTAAAATTCATGTCTGTATGAAGATAAATGAAATCTTTTCACCATGAAGTAGAATTTAATCCTTTTTTTATTTATTATAAATTTTGTTCAAAAACACTTTTTCACTGCTTTCACGTTTTAAACCATCACTGGTTTTCATTTATTTATTAATTTTTTAAAATTTGAGGCATTTCTGTGGCTCCAAAGTTCAATAGATTTTGAGTGGTCCATTCTAAACTGTATTTTTTCCTCAAAGTTTTATTTTTTTAAGTAAATGATTTTGCAAAACACCAGGCTGAAGTCAAGGTACGTATTGTGTTAAAGCATATTCTCTTGTAATTATTATGATGTCTGACCTTTATAAATGCACAAGTATTTGAAGAAAAGTGATTTGTAATTCAGTAGATCTCAAACTTTAGTGTGCACTAGAATCATAAGAAAATCATGTTAAAACAAAACAGGGGAGGGGCCCCTTCCAGACACTCCTGGTTCAGCAGGGCTGTGTGTGGGTCCAGGATTTAGCATTTTTAGAATTTCTTTGGTGATGCTAGTGCTAATGGTCTTAGGGCAGGGTCAGCATATTGAGTGCTACTCTTCTAACAAACAATTGACTATGTTCTTTAAGCTCAACATGGGGAGGAGGCCAAAAGTTTGTGAATTGGCTTGGTGGAAGGTGACAGAAAGCATTTACTTCTTTCATTATCCAGAGATATGTCTAGAAAATTTTAAAGGTATAATGATCGGGGCATAAGCGTATTCATTTCAGAGATATTATTAAAATAAACATAAAATTCAACACTTTATTAAAGTAAAAGTATTTTTACTATTAATATACAAATGGTGAAGAGTGACAATTTTGATATACTGTAAGCCATACTTTCAATGACTCATAAATACAAAACTTCAACATTTGCAGTATAATTTTTACAGTTTAGACATATATATACAGCATTTCATAGGGACATACTGTAATAAAACTATAAAAGAAACTTCATGGTAGCTAATTTAAGAATATAGAACTTGAATGAAATATATAAGTTAAAGAAAATAAATGACAGTATGTTTTAACGCATACTGAACACAGAATAGAATTCACATACCAAAAAGTGATTTTTCTTAACTTTTATTTCTAAGTTCTCCTATTTCTAACAGGGATTAGAGGCAAAGTTTAAACCATGAACATTTCCTTGAGAGTTGGAACAGTTACATTTGATCTTGACAGTAACATTTATTTTATAATATGATTACATTTTTCTAGAGTAGAAAAATCTTATTTGTAAATTTAATCATAATCTGTATCTCTGTGAGCTTTCTCTTCTAGTTTTCACTAGGGTATCTTCTCTGCGTAAGTATTATTGGCTGTAATTTTCATGTAAGCCAAGTTCCTACTCCCTAGTACAGCATGTCGCACAGTCCTATACTTCCTATTTCAAGAGTAGAAGCTGTTTGCCATTTCTGTCCTCCCATTTCCTTTTATTTCTTTGTTCCTCTATTTTTCTGCCTGGTGGGTATTGATTTGCTCCAACACCCACTGCTCTTTTCCATAGAAGGATAAAACTAGATGCCTAAAGATATGTATTGTCATATCAGAAGAGGAAAGTAAAGTTACAGTATCTAAATTTTATTTTTAATTTTTATAATTATAATCTTGACCAATTTGTGATAAGAAATCTGAAAATTGTTAAAAAAAATGTGATGTGACACAAAAAGGTTTAAATTATTGGTAAAGTCTGAGAGTGTATAATGAATTTTTTCTAAGAATATTAAACATATTTTCAAATAAATATTTATTATTTTATATAATATAAAAGTCTCTGACTATAATATGGGGGCAATAATCTAGAAGTATACTTGTACAATCTTGTTAAATAGTTGCATCTACATGGGTAAATGCAAGTTCTTAAAAAGGAAGGTTTAAAGAACCTGGAAGAAAAATGTATCTATTCAGCAATTATTATGTTTAGGCCCTTTTATAATTTTCTCATTTACATCTAAAATTATTTCATCTTGGAACATCTTTAAGCCTATGTAGAGAACAATTCCTTGAAAGATTTTCATTTTGTAATTGGAGTGTTTCATTTCTTTGCTTTACACATTTTAATTTTAACGTATGTCAGTACACCCACATGCACTTTCAATTTGTGAGTCTATGTGAGAATGCTCCAAATGGTTAATAAGAAGATGTAAATCTTTTCTCTGTAGAGATAAGCAATGTTAACAGTCTCATTTAAAAAGTATTTTCACCTTCTTATAAAGTTTGTTGAATAAGAACTCTGGATATGACCATGAAAAAGAACTCCAAGAGGAATTCAAATAGAGCATTTACTTTATTTTCCATGAAAAAGAACATGGATAATTTCATAAATAATTATAATATTATATGGTAATATTCTTAAGTTATGAAATGGAGAATATTTTTCCTGCCACTTCAGTTGCAGATATTTTCATCAGTGAATAACTTCTTCATCACAAGGATGATCTGTGTTCCCAAATCTATCTGAACATGTTCTTCCTACTTTCCAAAATCAAATCAGAAGTATTTTAACAGGACTAATAAAGTGACTCCATTCAATTTATCTTATTTTTAAAAACCATTTGCATCTTTTTTTTACAACTGTCTCACAACTCAATTTAAACAATATCTAGAATGTACTTATTGTCTAGAAGAACAATACAGAACAAATTAAAGTATTTCAGGCATATGTGAAAAGAATAGTGTTGTTATAAATGAAAATAAATTACGTGACAATTAATTATATTTGGATTTATAGTCAAGTTAAAGTGGTATCACGGGAATGTCTCAGGTATAAGCAAGATATGTTATTAATAATGACAGTAGTAGTATTTTTAGTGAAACAGAGTGTCATGATAATTCAAAGGCACAAATACATCTTAATTATTTAAAATAAGAAGCATGAAATAAACATATGATTACAAAGTTATAAGTAATTTTTGGTACTGAAATAAATAATTTGATTCATAATATCTTTGCATTTATATAAATGCTTAATTCACAGACTAAAATTCATTAGAATTTTATTGGATCAAACAGCTTTTGAAAAACTTTTCATAGGTATTAATATTAAAAATAAAACAAATTTTAAAGAATATTATATTGGTATTAGATGGGCATATTAATAGAATGGCAATGTATTTTACCCCCCAAAATAATAAATAAATCTGTAGAAATCACAATTCTTAATTAAATTCCTTTGCAAATCATAGTAACATATGTTGACAATTTATGCTACTTTTTGAAACAAATTGTGCATTAAAATTCTGATATTAATTTCATATTGTAGGTTTTAGTTGTCATTATTTAACTGCACATAATCTAATAAGAAATAGTAATGTTTTTTGTGGACTCTTTGCCTCTTAGTTTAGCATAGGGTTCAGATTATCTTAACAGTATTTATATTCAGTGAACTTATGACATTTTATACTAACACTCAGAAGTATTCTCAGACGCTAAAAACATATGCACAGTTATACTGATATATTTAGTCTAGAAGAATAACAGAAAATAAGAAATGAATTACTTCAATTCTACTCATATTTTTCAATTTACTACAAGCCATTTCTTATTTGGAAATTTTTACAAATAGCATAATCTGGAGCATTCCATTAAAATGTTAAAATAAAAAAAGATTTATCACAGTAATGCCTTGCTCTTCAATGACATAGATTTCAAGGACACGAGGTAAAGATTGTTCAAAGAACTGAAACAATACACTTGAAATAGTCTGCTTACAGTTATTTCCAAATTATCTATTGATTTCAGATAATTACTCCATATGAGTGGCAAGAAAGTTAACAGCATATATATATAAAGAAATATCTCCAATTCTTTACATAGAACATCTAATGAATGTGAAAACAGAATATTTAAATGGAGAAAACACAAAAATAATTTTTCTTCATTATGATTTCTCTATTTTTGCAATGTAGCACAAGTATAACAACAGTAAACATGCGCAATTGGCTTTTTAGTCATCTGAAATTTTTCAGTATCATTAGTTCAAATTCATGTGGCCCTATCCAGGAAACATTAGCCGTCATGTCGTTGACTGACACTTTCTTAATTTGTTCACTTTGCACAAACTAATTGCAGTGTTTTAACTAGTTTTAGCACGCTGATACAAAACAAACAAAATAAATCACAACAAAATAAGGCAGAAAAGATGATTATACAGATGTAAACTAAATACAGTCAAATCTGTGAGAAACCACTAGGAAACTCAAATTCCTGAAAAGTACCTAACTGGATTGCTTGTTCAGATACTGTTCAGATTCCTAGATAAGCACAAGAATTTTGTTCTTCAGAATTTGCTAGAAAGATAGAATGGACAAATTCCTGCATTATCACCCTGAAGTATATGGCAATGACACTGTGAGATTTTTGTGTCTTAACATGCAGATGGGCATATTCTGTCCTGCTGACGGCCAGCAAAGTGTAGGATAGCATAAAATTACTTGTCTCTCCTTGGCTGACCGTTTCAAGCACTTTGTAAGTAAAAGTGTTTATGCATGGCATTAGCTTTGCATTCATCAAATTATAGAGAAACACTCTTAAAACAGGTCCCTCTTCACTATTAATTTTTCCCACGTTCCACTGAAATATGTTCTCAATCATCAATATTTGAGCTATTCAGTCAAAAACTGAAACATCAAAAGTTATTAATATGATGAGGCCCCCAAACACGTTTGGAGGTCTAGGTTAAGAAACAATCTAAAACCTTTTCCCAGTAGATCTGTATATTTATAGCCTTAAATACATTTCCCTTATATATATAAGTTAAACCACATTTCAATATTGTACCTCTGGGAGATTGCATAGCTTGGAAATTTATAAGTATAGACCCTAATAAGTAATATTAGAAAGTCTGTGTTGAACGTTTAAGGAATTTCTTCAACCAAAGGTGTTTATCAAAATCTTAAAATGATTTCCAGCTACATCAATCACAATAAAAACACATAGCGGCCATTTGATTGCTTATAATTGACATTTGATGGCACATTTAAATGTTAAGCAACTTCTCCTTAATTTAACTAAACTGAGATTTTTATTTTCCATTACTCAGTTTCAATTAATGAAGAAACTATAAAATTTAAAAAAATTGGTTCTAAAAGTTTTACCTGTGTGCTAAAAATGTGTCTGAGGATATTGTCTGAAATATTTGAACAGTAAAGACTTGATTCCTGGTAAATTATTTAAAAATAAAAGAAAACTATGTATTTATAAATATATCAAGACAACATAATAATATTATTCCAATTTCAATTTACTTTATTTGAAGCTGAGGGCAGAAATCCGTATAATTCTCACTAGCAATACATTTAGATTTTTGTATATTCCATTGTGAATGATATGGCATATATAAAGAGACAGAGATTTAGATTTCTAAGCTAATTTCATACATAACTAATATTTTTGAAATAAGTAACAATTTTGATCTGGTACTTTAGTCTACCAAAAAAATTGATGTTGAAAATGCACTGAAAAGAGTTCTCCAAAGTTTTCTCAACTTTTAATATCTGTAAAAGATAGTTGGCTCCATTAAGCCTGGGTTCCCTGAAATTCTTCTGATAAAAAGTATAACCTTTATTACCTGCATTCATTTTAAAGTGAAAGCCACTTTAATCACCTATTGCCCAAATTAAGATTCATAAACATGCGGGGCTCTCTTACACATTTAGCTCACAAAGCTTTTGTTTTTTTGTTCATTATACCTTCATGTGTTAGAGAGTTTGAAATATATTTCTTGGTGGTATGTGAGACAAAGTTCTTAAGAAATAGAGCACTCTAGCCATATGACAATTGCAGCACTTCAATCATTGAATCGAATCAATACATAAGAGCTGGTGCCAGTCAAGTCTCTATACCGAAATTCTTAAAAAAGAACAACCACAACAACGACAATAAAAGAAAATGCATTATGGACAGGAGTATGTGATCGTATGTATATGTGTACAAGCTATTCCAAGCTAGAACTTTCCCAAGAAATTAAGGTCAGTGGAATAGTTTTGGTCATAGGGTCACTGCAATCCAGACGCTCCTTGTAGTGTTGATCACGCCCATGTGATATTGCGTTATGCTTTGCCGTCATCTTCTTTTGATTGGATGATGTCATTTGAAACTTTAATTTCTATAGTTTCTGGATTTAGAACTTCTTTCCCATTTTCTTCCTTTAAAGGGAGTTTTCTAGAAAGATATAAAAGTTTCCCATTTTAACAAATGATTATACATATTCTTTAACATTTAAATTAGTATTTTGTAGAAAAATACAGTGCAATCATTAATGGAAAATATTTAAGTACTATAAAATTGAGAGTAAGGTAACGGAAAAGGCAATACATCTTAACATTGCTTACTGTAAAGATGTAAAGCAGACAGATGTATTATGCAATATATTTGCATTTGTAGATGAACCACAGTGTTCATATCTGGAAGTTTAGATTTACTATCGAATAATAAAATATAATTACTCAGATTCTAAAAAGTCAAAATCTTGTAATATGACAGATACATGATTTGTTAGTTTTCAGTCTTTTTCAAGGAAGAGGGTTTTAATACTTGCTATCTCCTTACATTAAACTTAAAAACTGGGAATTTTGTAATTTTAATTAAAATTAATATATTTTAGGATATACATTTTTATATTTCTTATATAATGTTCCTTGGTGTATTTTCACTGCTACTTTTTGTTGTTACTTGTATATCACTTCTGAGTACTTTTTTGACTGTTTTAACCTATAAAGAAATAGCAATCTTTTTTGTTTTGTTTTGTTTTGTTTTTTCTCCGGTACCGGGAACCGAAAGAAATAGCAATCTTTATTAGTATTAAATTAGCTTCACAAATGTCATATAAATAATACTAATGACACTGTTGAATTAAGATTTTCTGTTGTGTATCTGCCATTCCAACACTCACTAGATTATGGTCACATCTTGTGTGCATGATTATTGGTGAGAGGTGAAATGTTTCCTCTTGAGACAACATTTTTTATATACATCAAGAATCATTTATTTATTTACAAAAGTGTTTTAATTCACTTAGTCTCATCATTTTATGGGGGAGTGAATTTTGCTATTGTCCTTGTAATTTATTTTATATTTTGAATACTAAGTATAAGCAACTGTACTGTGACTGCAAAACAATGTCAATGTATGTTACATTTATATACTGAAAATATATACTAATAAAAAATAAACAAAATTTAAAAAGGAAGTTTTGGATAAAAGCTAATAGGGTCCATTATTTGGAATAAAGTAGTTTCTACATATCTTAGGGGATGCTCTATTATGTCTTAGAAGTAGAGCTTTCACACTTCTTTTACTCTTCCATTCTAAAGTGCTAAAAACACGGGCAGTAAAGCATTATGAAGCAAATAGGTCATGTCTAGCATCCACAGGCAGAGACATTTTGAGCTCTGATAGGAGGTTAACATAATGCATAAATATCACATTTTTTCTATTGTGTGAGAAGCTCGAAGTATAAATAAGGAACAAAATGGAAGATAAATATCAAGAAGTAGGGAGAACTTTACAAATGAGAATGAGAACAAGAAATGGGGGTAGGAGGGGACAAGGAAGGGGGAGGAACTAAAGGAAAAGACAAAAAATTAAAGGAAGAAAATGGAAATAAAGCTTCTATAAATGGGGAGAGAAAGAGGGTGAGGGATCTAAGGGGCGAAGGATAAAGAATTAAAATGTGCTCTGTGTATGTTCAGATGCCCCATAATGAGAATGATAATTATGTATGCAAACATGTACTAATAAAAAAATAAATTGAAAAAACATAAGCCTTAAAATACATACAGATTTAATTTTAATTAACCATTTTGAATTAATTATTGGATGATATATTTCTCTAACAGAAATTTTCTCTACTTATGTTTATGTTAAATAATTTTCAAGAAGATTACTATTAATTACATTGTTTTTGTGTTTACTATTTATTTTAAATAAGTCATAGAGTAACTACTAAATTGTGGAGCAGTTATACGACTGAGTACTTTAGAAAAGGTTTCCATGCGTACCAGTATAATTTTGGAAGTGTTATTTAGTAGGAATTAGCTTTATTGTCTAATATTTTGCTTCATTGAAGAGACTTGCGATATCTGAGAGATTTTAGAATCTACTTTGTGACAACTGGCTCTAGAACAGTAAACTTTAAGGGTGTTATGGTTTGTGTCTGGATGTCCCGCCAAAGCCTCATGCAGTTGTGGGATGGGCTTCTAGAGTTTAGGATTGATCCATGGTCCAATGCTAAGATTATTGATGTGAATGCTACACCCTCCCTGGGGCGAGTAGTTTGCATACAATGTAACAGGGGGGAAAGAGGCTTGCTCTCTGCAACTTCTCCTTTTTTACTCTTGTTGCTTTTGCTGTTTTCCACCATCATGAACTGTTGCCCTCTGCCATGTGCCACCTTGCCTTGGAACCAGCTGAGTATGGACTGAAACCTCCACAAATTGTGAGCCAAATAAACCTTCCCATTTTTAGTTCTAGGTGTCGAACATTTTGTCTCAGCACTGAGAGAACAGTAACCAAGACAAAGAGAGAATGAAGTAAACTTTTAATGTACTACTAAAAGTGGACAGACATTTGTACTGAAATATTACCCACAGAGTAGTAGTTTGTGCTTATGTCTGTATTATTTCAGCCGCTAATAACAGATTTAATTTTTTAAGAAAATAATTTTTCTCCAGTTGTGACAAAACAGTGATCCCTCACCTATCACAAGAGTTATGTTCCAGAGACCCCCGCAATAGGTGAAAATTGGCAAAGTAGAGGCGTTATATTTATTTTATAATTTGTGTATATATTTAAGGCTTGATAAACCCTTCCCACACTGCTATAAATCCTTCCCACACTCCTGTGTGCTTTCCTGGTAAGACCCTTCTTCCCAAAGCCTTGGTTTCCAGATGGGGTGGTGCCTGGGGACGCCTAGGAGAATTGGTGTCTCAGCTCCAAGGATAAGAGGGGAGCACAAGGCAGGTGGGGATGGAGGGTGGAGCGGGCAGGGGAGTGTGTCACGAGGGACCAAGCCGAGCCACAGCCACAGTGAAACCAAGCCCAGCGCCTGGCCTGCACCGCTCACCCCACCCAGGCTGGATCCTAGCACGGGTGTGGGGCGGGGCAGTGCCTTGTTCCCTCCTCACCTACAAGCAGCACCTGCCCAGTGCAGGTCCGCTCAGTCAGCCAGGCGGCTCCGCAGGGCTCTGGCTGGCGGTAGTGGTGCACAGCATTTCCACTGTGTACAGTATGGTATTCATCCGCTGATGGAATACATACTGTACAGTATTCTATTTCGATTCAATATTCTTTTAAAATGTTTGCATTAACATTTTTTATATTTTTGGCATTGTTTTAATTTTTTAGGCAAAAACAATTAAAATCCTAAATATTATATAAATACCAGTATACCATAAAATCGCACAATATAGCAAAACCCCCACAGTACAGAATTAGATGTACTGTTTTCAAAACCCGAGATAGAGTGAAGCTGCAATAGTGAACCGCAATATAGCGAGGGACGATTGTACTTAGCCTATGACTGGAAATAAAATGCCTAATTCAAGTTAACCCTGGAAGGGAATGCTGTCTGGTTGAGAAAAAAATAGATAATTGTTTGGAAAACTATTAAATTTGAAATTATTTTGAAGAGGGATACCATGTGATCATCATGGTTTTGTTGGTATCAAATATATTCAGTGAAATATTATTACTTCTTAGTAGTAATCCTAATTTAAATGATTTTAACATTTATATGAATGAATCTAGACATGCCCACCTTTACAGTTTTAGCTGGGTATCACCTACTATTGCATTAGAGCAAGGAAGACTACAAATATAAATAAATAACATAGTTGTGAATGTAGACTACACATCATTTACTACATGTACACTAAAATGATAGACCATTTAGCAATATTTCTTTATTTTCTTCTATGATATTTTAAAATTGAATAGTCTTGGACATGTGGTGTATGCAAAGTGAAGAATCATTTTTGACGTATCATTTCAGTAAAAATATATTTTGAAATAATTGCTTTTCTAAATAGCAAGACATGTTAGAACAGTCAATTTATATTTTGACATGTTTGAATAAAATTATAAATATATAATTAAGTGATGGAATTTCTGTGATTTTGCTGCAAAGTATTCATTGAAATGTATCAATAGAAATGAATTTTTGATACATGTACTTTCATTAAAAGAAACAGTAAAATTATTAAATAAATGATGTTAGTATTGTAAGCACATATTACAAATAAGGACAATATGTCATCATTTCACTCATAATTATCAAAACACAAGCAAGCAGTGCAAGCTACATACTCTGGTTCCGTTAGTGGTGTAGTTTCATTTGGCTCATTTACTGGGCTTCCATCTTCATGATTAGTAATTCTTTCGTCCTCTGTTCTCATCTCCACTATTGGTTCTTTTGATCCATCTTTCCTAGAGAAAGAAAAAAAAATCTGTTCTAATGAAAAAGTACATGCATTACAGAAGACACTTTAAAATCTCCTCTTAATTCTACTTTCTTTCAGATAAGGTCAATATGGTTATATTCACCATAACATTTTCATTAAAATTAATTTTAACATACATTTTCATTCAGAATAAACAGAAGAAATCTCATTTTGTCTTCACCTCTTTTGTCATCAAGATTGTGTTAAACAACTTGCAAAAGTACTTTACATTTTAATATCTGTTATCAACTTTGGTGAAAAAATATTTTGTTAAATAAAATTCAAAATATGAAATAGATTCTCCCCAATGGACCACACTTGAAATATAAAAACATTTTAATACATTGGAACATTTGAAATGCATCTTCAGAAATATTGAATCTACTTAAAACTTAAAATTTACATCTAAGATATGTTGTTAAATATCATTTTATGAAAGATCTTAACTAAATGGGATCATTGACATTTACAGTATTCATACTTTTCATTAAAATAGTTTAGATAAACTCATTGTAAAGTACCTGTGTGCATTTTCATCTACTTCATATATAAATATATTTATATTATGAATAATATTTTTCATAAGTAGTGAAAATTAGGAAGTTAATTGCAAATGAGTAAGCCCCCAAATTTAGCAAAGAAAGAGAATGTTAAGTATTCCCAGAGTGTTGATAAATGGTGAGAGGATATGAGAGCCCTGAGGATTATGCTTTTCTAATACAATTTCAAGTATAGGGAGGAATACAGAATGGGAGAAGGGGAGTTTCACCTACCCAGGCAAACGGTCTCACCATTCAATTCAGCAACTGTGCTTCTACACAGAAAAAAGATTTGACAACTTACACATATACAGATATCAGCACAGTAATGTTTGTGGAGTGTGTATTCATACTTGCACCAAATTGAAAAAACCAAATGCCTTCCAATTAGTGAATGCATAAATAAAATAATATATATTTTATTAGAAATGACCCATCAAGCCATTGAAAGATATAGAAGAATATAACAAAATGAAGTGATTCTATGTAATTCCAGTTACACATCATTCTGGGAAAAGTAAAACTTATCAAGAAAATTTAAAAAGTTTTCTCAAGAGTGAAAGGGAGATAGATACAGACAGGTGGAGTACAGGGATCATTAAGGGCACTGAAATTCTGTTTTTGGTACTACACTTTTGATAAACAATATTGAAATGAATGTTTAAACAGCACATAAACTAAGATTACCATAAAACAAAACAGCATACAAAAAGAACAAAGTCTCAGAGATAATAGATCATGTAACACTGAGATACAAAGGATGATAGTACACTTTTGATCAGAAGTTGAACATTTGACATTTTTGCTTTTATCTGGGTATATAGCATACACATGTATCAACATGTGAAGAGTGGGTCTTGGTAAAGATGTAAGAAAACTGTATGTCAGTTATTAATTTGTTTACAGGATATATGTATATTCAGACTGACTGCCTATTGTATGACTTTTGGTTGATGTGCTTCTCAAGTACAGTAATTTATTTCATCTGACTAATCAAATTGGTGGGTGCATACATATTCATTGTATGCTTTTATTAATAGTTGAAAGCTATCCTCTCATTAATGATGGCCCTCTCTAATTTGACGTTTTAAACTGCTCTTCTACTAGTATATGTCTACAGTACACAATGATTGTATCCATCATGAGAAGTTTGTAAATGTCCATCATACATCTTAACTCTCCTTACATCTTTTCTCCTCGCTGACTTCCTTTCCTTATCCATCTCTTGCTCCATGCCCACTTGAAAAAGATCAATACCCCTGTTTCCTATTTTCTATCTTTTAGTTCTCTTTTGAAGTTATTTATACTTTGGGATTTTCATATAGAGATACATTGTGATATTTAAACTTGACTGTCTTAATTTATTTAACTTAATATTGTAGTTCAAGATGCATCCATTTTCCCAAAAGTGACTGAAATTTATCTTTACTTACAGCAGATTAACACAAAATTATAGATACATGTTCTTTATCCACTCATCTGTTGATGGAAATACGTTATAGGCAACATTCACTATTTAGCTATTAGGAGTTATGCTGCGATGATATGTGTGTATCATTGTAATAAGATGTCTTTAATTCTTTTGGGAATTCATTTGGGAAACTATCTAGAAGACGAATAGCTGAAGCAAATGGAATTTCTACTTTTAGCTTTTGAGGAATATTTATACTGATTTCCATAGTGGCTGTACTCACCACGTAGAAGGGACCCTTTTCCCCCAACATCCTCGCTAGCAATTTTTTTTTTTTTTTTTTTATGACAGCCATTCTTTCTGGAATGTTAGAATCTCACTTTATTTTAATTGCATTTATCTAATGAATGTTTTTTCATGTATTTATTGGCCATTTTGTATTTTTTTCCCAAGAAATATCTATTAATTGCAGCTGCCAATTTTTTATTTGGGTCTTTTCTTTTGCATGGTGGGGCTCTGATATGTTTTGGTCTTTTACAAATTCTATATATTAGTTCTCTGTCTGAGGAACAAATGACAAAAATTTATTCCCATTCTGTAGATGCTCTCTTCATTGTTATTCATTTTCATTTGCTGTGTAAAAGCTTTTTAATCTGATACAGCCCTTTGTATATTCTTGATGTTATTTATTCTATAACTGAGGTTCTGCTCAGAAAGAACATACCTAGGTCTATGTCTTCAAGATTGTGTCTATTTTTCCATACGGTCCTACATTCATACTTCTGCAGTGTATATGCAGTTTTCCCAGCTAGATTTGTTACAGAGACTATTGTTTCACTAGTGTATATTTTTGATTGCTTTGTCAAAAATGGTCAAGATGTCTAGGGCTTTTTCTGCATCCTCTATTCTGTTCAAATGATACACAAGTGTACTTTTGTGCCAGAATAATGTTTTTTTTGTTGTTTTTAGGTTTGTTTGTTATTGGTTTTTTTTTTGTTGTTTGTTTGTTTGTTTGTTTGTTTTTAGGATCACTATAGTTTTGTAAGGATAATTTGACAACTGGGTTTTTGATGCCTCCTGCTTTGGTCTTGGTGCCAAAGAACGCTTCTATTAATTTGGGTCTCTTCCACTTCCATGTAAATTTTGTGATTGTTTTCTCTATTTCTGTGCAGAATAATGTTTGTATTTTGATTAGGATTATATTAAACCAGTTTGGTAACACAATCATTTGGATGATGTTGGTTCTGCTTATTTGGGAAAAAGGGATGTCTTTACATTTTCTGGGGTCCTTTTTAATCTCATTCTTCAGAGTATTGCAGTTTTCATTGTGGTGATCTTCCCTTCCTTTTTTGGGTTAATCTCTAAGTATTTAATTGTTATGCTATTTGAATTCCTAATTTCTTTCTCAGGGAGTACATTATTAGTGTAAAAGAATTACACTTTTTTTTGTAAATTTTTGTATGTTAATTTTATAGTCTGCCATGCTGCTGAATTTGGTGATTAATTCTATTTCAGTGGATTTGGGGACGATGTTTTCTACTTAAAGCACCATGTCTTTTGCAAATAATAGTTTCACTTCTTCCTTTCCCCTAAATATCCTTTTCTGTCTTCCTTTTGTTTGATTGCTCTAGTTAATGGTATGTTTTACTAGCATTGTCATTTCATTCTAGGAACTATCTAATTGCTTCCTTGATTTCTTTGTGGCCAGCTGATTACTGAACAGTATATTGCTTAATTTCCACGTTTGCATAATTTCCATGGTTTCATTTCCAATGGATTTCTTGTTTCATTGATCTGTCATCTGATAGTGCATAGGATAATTCTGATTCTATTTATTTAATCATGATTTATAGGGTAGCATGTGATTTACGTTGGAGAAAGTTCCATGTGCTGCTAAAAATAATGCATATTTTATCTACAATATATAATTGTTGTTGTTGTATAGAATACTCTGTAGATATCCACTAAGTAATTTCTAATATTATTCTCCCTCTCTCTTTCTCCCTTCTTCTCTCATTCCTATTATTCTGAAAGTAGCCTAGCAATTTAATATTGTGCAATTAGTTTCGTTCATTCTCTCTACTTCTTTCTTTATTTTTCAAATTAATTTATTTGTTGTCTAATATATACAAATATACTATTTGCTTCCCTTAATCAGTTTGTGTTTAATTGCTATTATTTTATTTTCCTGATGTAAAAATTTAAGTAATTCATTTATTTTAATACATGCATTGTGACTATTAACCATGATATGTTAATTTCCAAAGAAGTCCTGTACTGGAGACTCTCCAGTGATTTTCCAGGCTTTCAAGCCTGGAGTGGACTTGGCTTCCATCGTCTTGATGGTTCTGCTACTATGTCCTCTTGTTCTTCAGCCTACAGTGTATATTTTGAGATTTCCTGCTTCTGATCCTGCAAACCTACCTAATTCCCCTCAGATAATTAAATATATATTTTCTATTAATTCTGTTTCCTAGATGACCATAAGAAATGCAGATTTTAGTACAGCAAGTTGTTTCAGAAAAGCATTTTTTTTATTAGTACATATTTACCTTCCTTGTGGTGAGTTGTACATATACATAACACAGCAAGTCCTTCTTTCTGCCTTTTCTTTTATCCTCTTTCCCCCATCCCTCCATCTCATGATCTCTTCCTAATTTGAGAAAAATCTATCTCCCTACTTGCTATTTTGTACCTTTTATTTTGCTGTTTAGAAACATTTTTATTAGACAGATTGATATCTCTAATCAGTTTTGCTGTTCCTTCAGTTGTCTCCTTAATTTTAGAGACTTACAGATGCAATTGTCTAGATCCCAAAATAACTTTTTTATTTTAAAGAGAATGATAAAAAAGTACAATAGGAAAATACTAACCACATAGGTAAAAACATAATAAAGCAAGAACAATAAAAATGATACAGAGTTTCAGAACAAAATGATACGAATTAACAGTGGCTGTTATATTACATATTGTTATTTTCGATGAAGTTGCTCAGATTACCACATGTAAAAATGCAAGATTGATCAAATCATTAAG